GTTCTCACCCCGCTCCTAACCATCAGCGCCCTGCAGTTACTAGTGTACCATCCTCCCGGCCGGCACACCCCATGTGTGTCTTGTTCAGGGCTCTGTCTCCAGAACTGCCCCCCACCAGGCCCATGGGAACCCCTAACACGTGTTTGTTGATTGAACAGATGATGGACTCTCTGCACAGTGACTGTGGAAGTGGGTCCTCTTTACCCGCTTGGACACTAAGAAAATTTGAGAGACTGGAGGGGACAGAATCTTGCCAACTCTTGGCCCAGGGCCCTTCCCCTACCGTTAGGGCCACAGGTGTTGGAAGGTTGTCAAACCTCATGCCCAACGTCATCGAAGTCCAGGGCAGGACCAAGGGCACGAAGGCTTTAGATGCAGCCGAGGGGGTGGATGGGGGTATGTGAGGGCAGTGGATGAGAAGCCCCTGGGAGCCGCTCACTGAGGCCTAGGCTGCTCGTGCCCCAGCCATGACCTAAGACACAGCAGACCACACTGGAGGTCACACTTGGACTCCTTCCCTCTGGAATGCCTGCCCAGGGGCCTGGTTCAGGCCAGGAGGAACCCCTGCTCCACCGCTCACCTCTATGATGTAATCTCTGCCATCTTTGCTGTGGACAGCCTTGACAGCACAGATGTCCAGGCCACCAAACATCTCCGAGCAGCTGTCCACCCACAGCCTGTACCTGCAGGGATGGACAGACAGTGAGTATGAGGGACAGGAGGCAGGGGCGGGAAGCAGATGGCGAGAGATGCAGAGACGGGGGAAGGAGAGACACAGAGAGACACCCACAGAAAAAAACAGGCTAGGAGACAGACAGCGACATACACATAAACACATCCACTCGGAGGTGGAGAGAGACAGGAAGACATAAGAGACAGAGATGCAGCGAGAGAGACAGAAAGGCAGAGAAACGGAGACAGAGAGAAACAGAGGCAGTGGGAGAGACAGAATGGGTAAAAAGGAAGGCAGAGACATAGATGGGCAGTGAGAGAGACACACAGAGGGAGAGAGATTGGAGAGGGAGCCAGGGAGGCAGGCGACCAGCAGGATGAGAGGGAGGAGCGAGGGGGGCTGGCGGGGGGTCTCAGAGACCTGACCCCCTTCCCCTCCCCAGGGCTTCGCTGGCCCCCCAGGACTGGGGGCTTGTCCTGCCCCCAGCTGGAGCCGTCCTGGACCCCAGCTGCCCCCGAAGTCCTTTTCCCTTGGGAAAACTGCTTGAAGGGCCCCAGAAATCCCTCCCAGGCCCAGCCTGCGGGGACAAAGGGTGTATTCTCTCCCTGGCCTGGGGCACGCAGGCAGAGGAGCCTGGCAGGCTTCTCCAGCCTGGCCCGGGGGCCTGGCCCTCTGGACCCGCTGCTTTTGTTCCCTTTCCAGCCACTTGATGGCTGCAGGGCCCGTTTGCTTTGCAGAAGATCTCAGTGCTGGACTCTGACCCTGCGACAAGGGGATGGTTGTATCTTCCCGGCCTGTGCTTGGCTTCCCTCGTGGTGGCTGGATTTGGAGTCACAGGGGACTTTGTGTCAATGTTCTTGCTTTTCTCCCCACTCTCCAGGGTCACACGGGGCACGCCTGCTCGGAGATCTATTTGTGTCTCTGAGCCATAAGGCCTGGAATGAGCTGAAGTGCTCTCAGAGCTGGCTCTCTCATCCCCTCTGCTAAGTGCCCTGGAGGCACTGATGCTACTGACTATGAATGTGCAGAAGGGAAAGTGGATTCTGGGCCTGAGCAGCCCCACTCCCATGGCAGGCTCCTCCAGGAATGGCCCATGGGGCCTGGGACTGAGCAGAGCCAGGGAGACAATGACCTGCTGGAGACACCTGGGAGCAGCCTGTGCGGCCCGAGGAAAGGCGGGGCTTCCCTTCTGGAAAGGTGGTGGGGAAAAGGGCCACGGCTGTCCCCCGAATGCCCGCTGGGGGACGGCTGTCACTCCCCCAGACCAGGTGCTGCAGTTGTGCCAGGGAACGAGCACAACCCCAGAGGCTGGAGAGCACAGGTGGGCGCCCACCTTGGGGGCGGCACCTGGGACTGGCAGGAAGGGAAGGAGACCAACATTTCCAGGGCACTCCCTGCCACTGAAGATCCTGTTCTCATCAGCCCTCTGGCTTGGGTGCATTACCTCCAATCTACAGCTGCAGAAGTTCAGAAAGGGTAGTTAACCTGTGTAACTCAGCTTGGAAGCAGGCAGGGCCACTTGCTTTAGTTCATGCTGCCTCCTCAGCTTAGAGCCCTGAACGAGGAGTTCCACAAGGGCAGGAACCGTGTTACATCCCTCCCCTAAGTCTCAGTCCGTGTGGCTGTAGCACGGTGGTCCCCCTTCACTCTCGCGGGGCAGAGACGGGACACAGGAGTATCTAATTCCAGTGCTGCCGCTTTCTGGGTCATAGAGATGGGAGCCATGATAGTCATTGACTTAAGTCAGGCCTATCAGTGAAGAAGGCTCAACGCCAGGCTTTGATTGAAATGGTTGGGAAAGACATCTTTCTGCTGGACTTGACACAGTTAAGACGTAAGCCTGGAGCCACTTTGGACCACTATATGAATGAGCTGACCGGAATGAAGCCAACATAGAAGAAAGCTGAATTGAAGTTGGCAGTGAAAGTGAAAGTCGCTCAGTCGTGTCCGACTCTTTGCAACCCCATGGACTGTAGCCCACCAGGCTCCTCTGTCCATGGAATTCTCTAGGCAAGAGTACTGGAGTGGGTGGGTAGAATAAGTTCTAAAGTCCTACCTGGTGCTGCACCTCTGAAGTTTTCATTGCCACAAGCCAGTAAAACCCCTTGGACTCCAACTAATCCATTTTCTGAAACTTGCAACTGATACAGAGTTCTTAAAGGGAAGGGTTGGGTCTTTTCGTCTGTGCTCAGCATACATGCCATGCAGTCGGTACTCAATACATGTCCACTGAACAGAGCTTTCTGACCCAAAGCCCATGCCTTGCCCACTGTCACTGAAGGCTTACAAGCAGAGATCACTGGGCACTCAGCAAGGGATGTATGTGTGCTGCTGGCCTCAAGAGCAGGTGGCCAGTCCTTCTTCAGGTGAAGATGGCTCACAGGTGTTGTTTAAAGGGAGGGCCTTTCAGCCAGTGTGCCTCTCTGCTGCATTCATGATTCACAGGAAACTGACTTCTCCCTCCTCATGCTGAGACACGAATACATCTGAGAGAGGAGTGGACACTCCGGGGGGGAGCTCTGGTACCCTAACGGGATGCTTCCATACTGCTGTCAAGAGCAGAAGAGATTGGTGAGGACTTCCTGCTCTCTTCCTGCAGCAACTGGTAGGGCCACAAAGACCCCTGGACTTGGAGTCAAGATGTCAAGGTTTTAGTTTTATCTCTGCCATTGATCAGTTCTGTGACTTGGACAAGCCATGCTCCCCCTCGGAACCATCTTCCCCATGTATAAAATGGGGTTATTGTAAAACATGCCCTGAAGGCTCTTACGGGCAGTAAAGCAGATCATGCCTGGGAAAGTGCTCTGTGGGTGGTGAGACGCTGGCCAAAGTGCGAGGCGGCATTCATTACAGGATCCTTGCTGTATCCCTGTCTACCTCCCCCTGTGGCTGGTGTGCCTCCCTAAGCACCTCCGTTACCTCTTACCTCTCTGTCATGGCCACCTGCTCCAGCATGGCAGAGCCTGTGTTGGCCTTCCAGTTTCCAGAGATGGAGGTTCTCCTGTACCAGAACAAATGACACAGTGAGGGCAGTAGGGATGCTTGTCACTGATCTGCTTCCTTTTTTTGCTTTGGCTGTTTGGTGGCTCTGATTCAAATATCTAGCTTACATTGTTCTAAGTTGCTTCAGTCATGTTGGACTCTTTGCTATTCTATGGACTGTAGCCTGCCAGGCTCATCTGTCCATGGGATTCTTCAGGCAAGAATACTGGAGTGGGTTGCCATGCCCTTCTCCAGGGGATCTTCCTGACCCAGGGATCGAGCCCATGTCTCTTATGCCTCCTGCATTGGCACGTGGGTTCCTTACCATGAGCGTCACCTGGGAAGCCCACTGTGATGTGCATTCTTAGATACACATCCTGTCTTCAAATTTAGTTTTTGTGTTTTTATTTCCCTTTATGTTGATTGTCTTATTTGTTGGGTCTTATGTATCTTTCCCTAAGCCACCTTTGAAATGTAAAATTGAATTTAATGAATACCTACACTATCAGATTAAATCCTTCAAATGGCCTCGCTTTTTTTTAGAAGAACTAGGGTAGTATAGCCCCTGGTGACTCTGGAATCTTTTTTGAGCACTAAAATGTAGGAAAAATAACAAATGGGGAGAAGTGACTGCCTTTTCATGGTGAAGAGCAGGAAGGCCTCTGCCTCTGTCTGCCTCATCACCCTCTCAGTTCCCTTGCCTTTTCTGCTCCAGCAACAACTGACCTCCCTTCAGGTGCTCCAAAGCCCATGGGTTTTTTTCCTGCATATAGGCCTCCATATACTTTCCCCCTTTGCCTGATACAGTCTTCATCTCCATCCTTGTCTCCCTACATCCTACTCATCTTTCAAGTTTCATCTGAAAATGTGACTTTCTGACCTGACACTTCCCCAATAAGAACTGTGAGAGTTGGGCTGTGAAGAAAGCTGAGCGCCGAAAAATTGATGCTTTTGAACTGTGGTGTTGGAGAAGACTCTTGAGAGTCCCTTGGACTGCAAGGAGATCCAACCAGTCCATTCTAAAGATCAGTCCTGGGTGTTCATTGGAAGGACTGATGCTGAAGCTGAAACCAGTACTTTGGCCACCTGATGCGAAGAGTTGACTCATTGGAAAAGACCCTGATGCCGGGAGGGATTGGGAGCAGGAGGAGAAGGGGACGACAGAGGATGAGACAGCTGGATGGCATCACCGACTCGATGGACATGGGTTTGAGTAAACTCCGGGAGTTGGTAACGGACAGGGAGGCCTGGCGTGCTGCGATTCAAGGGGTCGCAAAGAGTCGGACACAACTGAGCAACTGAACTGAACTGAACTGATACTACACTCTACCAATGTTTAGAAATGCTCATCTCAGTTGCAATGACTGCTTTAATGTGCTGACTTCCCTGAGGGCAGGGAGCATGTTTGGCTCATCCTTCTGTACCTCTAGTGTCCAAGGGTTCCTGGCAGGTAGTAGGTACCAGGCAACAATTTACTAGGTAAGGGGCTGTGTATGCTGAAGAGAAAATCCAGTGGCATATCTGGATTCAGCAAAGACTGAATGGCTTTAAGCAAAATGGAAGTGATAAACTGATCTGTTTCATGACCAAGGAAAGGCATGTGATTGAGCTTCAAGGGTGAACCAGTGCTATCAAATGTCTTTTTAAAAGAGAAAATACAATGTATCTGAGGATAGCAGATGCTGAGAACAGGTGGCCAACAAGAGCCATAATGATTAAAGTGTTTTAGTGACATTGATAAGCTTCAGTTGGTTCAGTTCAGTTCAGTTCAACTCAATGCAATTAAATTCAATTTGGCAAACAATCATCAGGCCACCCTATGTCCTAACTACAGGACTAATCTGAGTGTGCAGAGATGACTCGCCTCCTCCATCTGTTCACTACCTTAAAGGGTAGACTAGGTAAAACCAGAACATAGGCATGGTAGGGTTAGCAGTACACATAGGTGTGAGGCATTCTGGGGAAACAACTGTTTAGATACTTTATGTGACCCCAGAAGGTGGTGACTGAGATGTACCTGGAAGGATGAGTAGGATATGGTAGAGTGGAATCTGTATAGTGACAAGTGAAGGTAAGAACTGATTTGAGTCAGACAGGTACATGTTTGAATCTTGATTGTAGTGCTTCCTAGTATAACCATGGACAATACTTCTGAGTATTTTCTCATTAGTAAATAGGAACCATTTTAGTGCAGTACTTATAGTGCATCATGTGGATTAAAGGAAAGATTCTCATAAATCTCTTAGTACAGTGGGTGCTACTATTATTTTTCAGTAAGTGTAGATGAGAAAAGAAAGCATTCTAATGCCAGAAACAGCAGGAGCACAAGCTAGATTGGTCTCGTTCCAAGAAGGTAATGATAGAGCTGATATTTAGTGAGTGCTTTCTATGTCTGAGACATGGGTCTAAAAGCTTTGTAAACATAGGCTTCAGACTCACAAAACCTAATGATGGGCATTATTATTATCATCAGTCCCACTGAGTGACAGAAGCCACCAAACCATATCTGAGAAACTCTGTGCTCTTACCATGAATCTCCATGGCAGAGCCAATCACAGGTTTGGGGAAAAAAGTCGATTGGCCCAAACATGATGCAGCTGCTTGACAGTAGGATGGAATTTAGGCTGTGACAATGGAATCTATGTTTATGACACAGGTTTGATGCTGACCCCCTTGTTGAAGAGGGCAGGAGTGAGTGGAAAGGTGCTGACCTAACTAACTTTGGAAATTTTTGGAGACTGGGTGCCTAAGTACAGAAGAAACCATATATAAGTCCTGTACCATAGTTGGCAAAGTTGTTTCTCATGGGGCTACAGCTTGACAGTTCTGCAACTATACACATGTGCTGGGATTGAACAAAGAAGTATGTGGATGGAGGATGGGGGAAGCCAGGTTTTTTTCCCTGCTGGGAGTGGAAAGTTACAGATAAGCAACTTGGGAAGGCTAAAGTGAATCATGTTGAAAACCGAGTACTAGTTGAAGTCTGACACATCAATATGAACTGTTTAGCTTTAGCTATAGATGGATATATACAGAGAGAAATAATTACAGACGTGTGTATACACGGGTTGAGATACACACATTTATTTCCCAGCTGTGTCTGCCGAGAGGACTTAGACACAATGGCCCTCAGTAGCAACAAGCACAAAGGCCTGAGTGCAGGGCAGGAAGTGGGCCAGAAAGGACGTTGACGGTCATGGGTGGAGAGGGCGTTCTCCACTGAGGTCTGACACGAACCCCTTCCCTCGGACGTGGGCCAACGCAGGCTCCAGGAAACACCATAACTAATGACAAATTGGAGCTGTCGGGACAGAAAGGCTCAGCATAAAGAAGGCGGCAATGAGGTAATCCTCAAGGAGAGAAATTGGGGCAAGGTGTCGTCAATGTCAAGTGGAAACGCTAACAATGAGGAGAGGAGGGAAATGACATCATGAGGGATGGTGGAGGCCTCAGGAATGTGTTGGACCATACACTAGAATGTTCTCCGACTCAGAGGGGCTATGGGTGTGGGGAGGTGACTTTATCGCCCTGAAGGCATCTGAGAGCAGTGACAGGTTTGGCCTGGCTCCTGGGTGGGAGAATGGTTGGCAAGACAGGCCGAAGTATTCCTTGGCTCCATCCCTTTCCTGGGCATATTTCCTTGTAGGTCAATGGATTGCATGTTCTCCAGTTTTCCAGGCAGTGGCAGAGTGGAGTGGTTGCAACTCAAACTGTGAGGCCTGCAGAGCCTAAAATGACCATCTGGCCACTTCCAGAAAAAAAATTGCCAACCTCCGGTCTAAGCAATCCAGATAGAGCAAAAGTAACCCTAGATAATACAGAAATGGAACTGTATGGCTGTGATCAATGCAACCTTACTTACTGAGACAGGTGGAAGCTAGATTTGGCCTGTGGGCTGTGGTTTGCTGACCCTGACCTAGAGCACAGCTCCACCACACAGAAGCACATAGAGAGATTTTCCAACTGTCCAGAACCATCTGTTGCAGTCCTCAAAGGTGAAACCATGCAATCAGCACTCCATCCAGACTTGGAGACCAGACATTTATTGCCTCTCTGGAGTCTCATCATTTCAAGTGGAACCAGCACTATTCCAAAGTAAGACAGCGAGGCCTTGGAGCAGAAAAGACCAAGCCCTCCATGCAGTCAGGAGCTCCCACTCATCCTCGTAACCACAGCTCCAGCATGAGTCATTATTTGCCTGAACCACCCCTGGATTGAATGTGTGATGAATTTTCTGGCATTCGTCCCTTTTCTTTGAGTCACATAACCTCTATCTCCACAGGACAATGACCCTGCCTGTGTTGCATGCTGTCTCGGTGGGTCTCTCTATACTGATCGTCTGCCTTCTTCTGATAATCATGTGACCACTGTTGGACTAATCAGCACTGTTTCCGTGGAATCGTAATTAAGCCCTGAAAATGATTATGGTAGATTTCCCTTCCTAATGGGGTGCCACGAAGATTGTCTATTACTTCTGGCTACCCAGATTCCTGGGGCTGCCCTGAATCCCAATATTTCTGAAATTGGTAATTTGGGGTTAGTTATTTTTTTTAAGTTTCTGATCATCCATGGGTTTCTAATAAATTCCCTTTAAAAACATTCCACCATATTAGTCAGATGTGGTTTTTACTGCTTGCAGGTGAAGAAATCTGGTATAATCTCCTACCTGATCTTATTAGTCCCAGAGAAACCCTTTTGCCGCCCATAGCCCCAGAGCCTTCCTTTCATGGTTACAGGTCAGGTCATGACACTTCTCTGCTCAGAAGGGAAGAGAAGAAAATCCAAAATCCTCAGCAAGGCACTCAAGGCCGTCCTTGATGTGTCCCCAGGTGTCCCTCCCATGTAAACCTCCTCAAGGAGGCCAACAGTCTTTATTTCTCTGGGGGAAACGGCCTTCATTTAGGTAGACAGATTTTTGCCCTGGAATAAGCCATGATGGAACAGCAGCCTGCCTCTGTGCTAACTAGAGATGGAGGGAAGTAAAGGAGACAGAAAGGGAAGAGAAGATGTCCCTATGGGGTCTCTGCCATGGGACAGAAAGACAGGGCATGCCATGCATCTTTAGTCTCGGTTCCTCTCACACTCTGCTCCTACCCTTCATCCCAGCCTCCCAGCCCCTGCCCCTGCCCAGAGACTCACATGTAAGCTTTGTAGTTGGATCCAATTTTCTGGATGCGGATGTCATACTTGGAGTCGATGAAGGCCTCAGTGGTGGCATAGGTTTTGGCCATAGCCACCATGCTGGTGATGTCCTGGTAGTCATGCTGGTTTTCTACTTTGATCTGTTGGGAGGATGAGGGGATAAGTACCACGTACCTGGTGTTCATTGAGCACCTACCCCGTGCATATATAGTGACTGTGAGAAGGTCATCTGCCTGGCAGGGGAGGCAGACACAGGACACCAAGTTGCTCCCCAAAGGCAGCATTCCACCTGGGGAGGTCAAGGGAGTCTTCATAGGAGGGGTGGGCTCTGAATAGGAGTCAGGGGAGGGAATGCGATTCTCACACAGACTATGAAGCAGGTATGTTCTCTGGAGAGGATGGAGGATGGACAAGCATGTGGCAGTAGGAGCTGGGGGAGGGGGATGGGCCAGTGGTCCAGACTGGCCGAGGGGGCAGGAGGGTGGAGATACCTGAAGAGGGTCTTCAGGGAATAGACCACAGTGGGCCTCAACAGCTTTGGCAGGGGCTGGAACGTAGGCATGAAGGTTCTGGACAGCCACTTGAAGGAGAGGAGTTTAAACAAGAAAGCAGCCACGTTTGTGATTCAGAAAAAGCGCTCCTGCAGCAGTGTGGGGAGCCGGGTAGGGGGTGTGATATGGGATAGACAAAGACCAGTGTAAATGTGTGTCCACGAGTGGTGTGCACAGGCAGGTGTGTGCACGTGGGCTATGTGTGTGAAGTTTGTGGGGGATGTGTAGAGTGTGTGTGGAAGGTGTAGTTCGTGGCATATGTGTGTGGTGTTTGCATGTGTGATGCACATGGTGTGGTGCTTCTGAGTGTGCAGGCAGTGTGGGCATGTATGTGTGTGGACAGAGTGTGTTGGGAGTGTGCACGCTCTGGACACAGCTAGCTCTGCTAGGCCAGAGGCCTGGGGGAGAAACTCAGTCATGCTGTTTACTGGGGCTGAGGCCAGGGACATGGGGTGTGCCTTGGGGTTGGCGAGAGGTCTCAGGAGAGCTGCCAAGGCCAAGGGCAGGCGACGAGGCCAAGGCTCTGGGAGGACGATCTCAAGACACACCAGAGGCTGGCTCCAGCCCCTGTGCATGGCCGCGTGCCCCCTCCCCTGTCATCCTCACTCAGACAACAGAGGGGTTCCTTGGCCAGCAGTGGGCAGAGGCCAGATCCGCGGGGATGGGCGTGTGGCGCTCGTGTGCGGGACGGTGCTGTCCTCACAGCTTCTCCTAGCCCCTCCCCACCTGTCCTTCAGGCTCAGCAGTGCCTAGACCACTCCATCCCCCCGGAAGGCCACCGCCCACATCTGCCCCGGCCTCACACTTACAGAACATCTCCTCAGTTCTCTTCTGGGACTCGAAACAGGCTTGTGGGGCAGGCAGGGTGTGGGTGTTATTGTGACCATTTAACAGAGGTGGAAACGGAGATTTCTCTCCTTGTCCAAGGCCAGAGAGCAGCTGAGCAGAGAGCTGAGCATGAAACCCAGGACCACAAAAGCACAGCTCTCTGAACCACCTCAGGGGTACCTACGACTCACGCCTGCTCTCCACCCAGCAGGCTGTAAACAGCTCGGCAGACCTCCTCTCCTCTCAGCTCTCCGTGGGTCCCCGCCTCTGAGACAGCGAGCCTCCTCCCACCGAAGGCCGAAACCACCCCTTGTCCTAGGTCCTCTAAGGCTCTGATTGCTTGCTGTTCCCTCTTTCCTCAGTAACAGGACCCTTAAGTTTTCTCTGGGGATTTGGCCTCTCAGCTAAAGATGACTTTGTCTCAATCTCCTTTATCTCGGGAGATGTAGCCAAGGGTCCAAGTCCAGCTAGTGAAAATGTGAAGAGATGTGATGTGCGCAACCTCTGGGTGGTGCCTTTAAACTGAAAGAAAACTTCCCTTTTCCTCTCCCTTCTACCTGGCTGGGATGTTTTCATGATGGTGGGAGCTGGTGCAGCCTTCACGGGCCACACGATGGAAGCTGCATGTTGAGCATGCCTGACTAATAAGGTGGAAGGAACCTGGATTTCCCACACCATGGTGTCCCGAGTCTGCCCTTGATTGTGTATGCTCAGACTCCTACATGAGAGCAAAGTAAGCCTTAATCTTCTTTAAGCCACTGTTATTTTGGTCTTTGTTAAAGCAGCCAACCTGTATTTCTGCCATGCATTTTTCAGCTCTTGCTCTTCATTGATTATCTTTTGAATCGACATGATCATGGATCCACTAGTCTCAAGTTGTTCCTGCTTTTCAGTACCTCAGGTACCACTACTCTGTCTATCTCAGCATCCTCATTTCCCCACTCACTCCCAAACCAACTCTCTTTGGATGCCATTCCCCACTATTCCACCCAAACTGATCTGGCAAAGGTCACTTCTGCTCTCCTCATCGGTGAGTCCGATGGAGTTTCTCTTGGTCCTCTTGCTGCTTTGACACTCCACGGTACGTGAAATGGCTAAACTTTTAGAAATTTGGTTTCACTCTTCTCTTCTGGTTCTCTTCCTTTTTTTCCCCTGGCAACTTCTTCACGGTCTATATATTGCTTCCTCTTCCTTCAACTACCCCTTGGGTGGTCACAGTATTTCATTCTCGACCAACATTTGGGATCTGGTAAAGAGCGTCAGAGTTACTGAAATTAAAGAATGGGGCTGGGAGCTTGCAGGGACAGCTCGATTAATTCTGTTTTGTCAGTGGATGGGCCTGGGAAGGGCCAGAGCTACTTCCACACCTCAGTTTCCTAGTAAGCACAACATACACCACAGGCTGTCTGAGAGATTTCTAGTTGTCCACAGCATCCATTCTCTTTTTCTATAGCTGTGAAACGCCTTAATCTGGGGGTGCATGACCATCCAGAATAAACATTACACTTCCTCATCTCCCTGGCACCTGTGTGTGCTCATGTACTCAAGGCTGGGTGATCGCATTTTGGTCAACGGGACTTGAGCAGAAGTTGGGTTTGAACTTCCAGGTCTGCCTTAAAAGGGAAGTGTGTGTGTGAGGCGGGAAGGAGGAATGCTTTACAATTCTTTCTTTCCTCATCTGGCAACACCCCAGGAAGGAAGGATGGAAGGAGCCAGTTATGTGAGAGGGAAGGTCCTAGCTTGTTTAAGCCATCTTAGGTTTTTGTTACAGAAACTAAACTTCATCCTTAGGTAAATATCTGTAGAATGCATCATGTATGCATTCATTTATTCACAGGATAGACAAAAGAGAGCAAAGAGAGAAAGTACAGATGCAGTGGTTTAATTAATTAATGGTCATCTCAACCTTCCTTTGTGAACCCTTCTCTCCTAGAGTCGGGTGTTTGGATGGGGCACTCATCCTGTCCTCTCTAGGACTAAACACGTAACCCAGGTTTCTTATACATGGGCTGGTAATTTTATTCTCAAGTTGGGTGCTGTCTGAGCCCCATAAAACCTGACTCCACCCCTGGCTCTACCCATGTCTGTCTCCCCATTAGACACGAGCTTCCTGAGGGCAGACAAGGCATCTTGTTCCCAGTTGTAACCCTGCTGTCTGGAATGTTGTGGAAGGCCCAGACACGTCTGCTGGGCTGAGTTGAAGAAGGATGGATAAAGATGTGCTTGTAGCTGGGAAGGGTGCGAGGGGATGGAAGGAAAAATATGGGGTCTTGGAAAAAGGCAAAGAAACTGTGCTTCAGGGAAACTTGTTTTATAAAGTAAAATTTTCTGTAAATGCTTGGGCTGGATTCCACACTTAAAAGGTTTACAGCTTCCTAGTGGAGCGCCTGTGGCGCAATCGGTGAGCCTGAGTGCAGTGCTTGGAAGAGGCTTACGGCTTCCTTCATGAGTCTTGAGACCCCGGTGAAGTCAGGGGCCTTGCAGAGGGGAGCAGGTGGCCTTTTGGGGGGTGCTGGGGGAGCTGCTGGGCTGGTGCTCAGGGCATAAAGGGAGGTGGCGTGAGAAGGTGTTGGGGACGGGCAGCCATGGGACGGCCACAGCTAGGGAGGGAGTCTTGGCACGCCAATGTATTTACTGGCTGGAAACCCCTCCAACTGTCCACAGAGACAAGCTGAAAACAGGAAGCTCTAAATGAGCTGTGACTCAAGATGACCCATGTGCTGCTCTGGGGACCTGTGCCCAGCGAATTCCCTGACTCTGAAGACTCACATCCTCACCCACCTCCCTACCCACTCTGCGGCCCCGCACTGTCTCTTGTGTCCTCCTCCTTCCGCCTTTCCCACCTCTCCTCCTCCTGGCCCCTGCCTTCTCCCATACTTTCCCCCCTACGTCTAGTATCACCTGTCTCCTCTCTGGCGCTGCCCACCTCCCACTCCTCCCATTTCTCTCCATCCCTTCCTTTCCCTCCTCCTCCCCTTCCCCACTTTCCCCACCCATCTCAGTGCGGTCTCCGTCCCCCTGCCATCCCATCTCTCCTCCTGTTTCCCTCGCTGGATCCCTGTGTGGTTTCTCACGCGCTCCTCCTCTCCAGCTTTCTGAACTACTTCACCTCCCTCGTGTGAGTGTGAATGTGAGTGTCTGTGCTTGCACGTTCGCAGACATGTGCAGAGGGAGAGAGGAGTTGAGAGACAGTTCTGAATCTCCTCGGTGGGCTTCATCCAGGCCTGGGATGGGAAAGTCATCCTTACAGCCTCAGCAGACTGTGTGCTATTTGCTTGAACACCTCAAGCAGTAACAGGGAGCTCACTGCTGGGCAAGGAAGCTCATACCGTCTCAGGGAACTTGTCCTACTGTATATTAGACCAAGAGTGTTCGAATGGTTCCAATGACTGATCATACAGGGTAAGTCTTGGCTCTTTGCCTTGAGTCTGGTTTTCATCCACTGGATGCAAGCCTGCATGCCCAGGTCACTCTCTTCTTAACCCATCCCAACATGCGAGCAAAATCTCTCAGTTATGTCCAACTCTTTGTGACCCCATGGGCTGTATCCTTCCAGGCTCCTCTCTGTCCAGGGGATTCTCCAGGCAAGAATTCCAGAGTGGGTTGCCATGCCCTCCTCCAGGGAATCTTCCCAACCCAGGGACTGAACCTGCATCTCTTATGTCTCCTGCATTGGCAGGTGGATTCTTTACCACTAGCACCACCAAATTAATCACATAAACCAATGTCTTAAAATAAATCTATGTATAGCCTTCTCATGGTTTCCATTTGTTTGCACAACCCCGATGAACACTCTGTCTCGCTAGTGCTGTAGCAAGAAGACAAAGATGCCACCTCCCAGAGTGAGCTGTGACAGACACCACTATGGCCAAGCACTGATAGTTTCACCCACATTGATATAATGAGGTTGGGCTGTCAGAGATTAGAGATTGTGAGATGATGATTTCTTAGGAAAAGGTTATGTCAACCTACCACTCTCCCTTGTGCTATGTCCAGTAGGGGCTTCAGTGGGACACCCACCAAGACTGATATGTCTCTGGTGCTGAATCCTTCCCAGGCTATCTGCAGGGGAGCATCCTGCCTTTGGTTTATCCAGGCTAAGGATGTGTATGCCTCCCATGGACCACAGGTGGGCGGTGTGGAGGGAGCGGGGCTGAAGGACAGAGGCTGCCTTTCCACCACCATTGCCCTGGTCCAAGCCACCACCGTCCTGCCCTGGACAGCTGCAGTCATCTCATTTAGAATTCCTCTTGCCTGAGCCAAAACCTCAGACTGATTTCCTCAGAATCTCTGGGCATGGGCCAAGGCATCAGTATTTTTGGAAGCTCCCCAGGAAAATGCGTGCAGCCCAGGTAAAAAAGCTTCTACGATCTGGTTCCCGGTCATCTCTTTCTTTTGCACTCTGCCCAACTTGTCCCTGCCTCACTGCTTTTGCACTTGCTATTCTCTCTGCTTGAAATCATTTTCCTGGGCACCTTCCCACGGCTGTTTTTCTCAGAGGCTTTTCCAGCTACTTGATATCAAGTAGCTACTCCTTCCTGCCCACTCTGAGAAGTCTCTACTGAATTATTACTATTTTTTTTTCTTACCATCTTTGACTAGCTGAAATGACTTACTTGCTAATGTGATTATTGTCTCTCTCCTCCATTAAAATGTAAGCCAAATACTGAATAAAACCAGAGCCTCCTGTGTCTTTCTTGGGAGACAATACAACAAAATGTTGAAGAATGCAAGCTCAAAGCCCAGCTCCCTCACTTGTTAGCTGTGTGACCTTGGGGAAGGTACTTAGCTTCTCTGTGTCTTACTTTCCTTATTAGCAAAATGTGGGTAACTTGTTAATATCCAATGTGGATGACTTGATTGCTGCTGAGCATCAAATGAGCATCAAAAAAACCATACATGTAAATGGTTTAGAAGAACTCTTCATTCATTACAGGCCTTCAACAAATGTTAACTATTATTATCATTCCTTTTTATACCTTGAAACCCAGCATAGTGTTTGGCACACAGCAGATGCCTCAATGTTTGCTGAAAGAATGAATGAAGGGGCCAGTCATGGGAACAGCTGGATGAAGAGAATCCAGGCAAAGGGAAAAGGTGGTACAGTGGCCCTGGAGCTGATGCTGCCTGTTGAAAAGAGACTCACAAGTATCAGCAGAAAACAGAGCCTTGAAGTTTTTTCGTGGAAGCTGAGGACTAAGAGGGATTCATGCTTGGAGGAAGGGCAATCCCACTTGCCCTCAGCGGTGAATGCTGGGAATGGGGCCAAGATCCTTCCTAGAAGATGGTTCAGAATCAACATTGATAGAAAAACACATGAGCCATTGAAGCCCATCGCCCTATTTCAATAGCCTAGAAAATGTTTCAGGCGAGTATGACCAGCAGCTCACCCCAGCCAAATCCATCTCCATCAGGTTTCTGTCGAAGGCCCAGTATGGAGCAGGTTCCATCTGCTGTGATGACCGGGGCAAGCTTGTTTTTTTCAAAGATAACTAACTATATGAGGCAATTTACTGAACTGGCTGATTTATTTATGAATAAGCTAAAAGCTAAGCTGGGGGATCTACCAAAAATAATAACTGTAGCTTCAGAACACTTGCTCTGTAGTCTCTCTTTCCGGCAATAATTAGCTGGTCGAGCCAGCTGGATATTCAGGCCACTCCTAGTTTGAGATAATAAAACCATAACCCTGGCACACAAATGCATGCTTGTTTTTCTGTTTTTATAACAGGAAGGCGTGCTTCCAGCTCATTCCAAAGTGGTCTACACTCATTAAGAAGCTAGTTAGATGGAGTGGGAGAGATGAGCTAAATATCTGTTTTCCCTCCCAGTAAATATTTCCCAGCCTTGTAGCTCCTTGACTCTCAAGGGTAGGTTCCATGTGTACATCATTAAGCCACGCTCACAGAGTTTAGCTCAAAATCATTCCTGAGCTCAGCATCAAAAGCTTAAAAGAGTTAAATGGGAGTTACAAAGAACCTAATGCACAAGTCCCCACTTTCTGGATGTATGATGCCCATCTAAAGAATGATTTCACGGCATTCCAAGGCTAAAAGAAGTGCCAACTATTTATGTCCTATTAGCTTAGTCACTGAAATAAACAATGTACATAATATTTTTATTCCATTCATAAGTAACTACAATCACTTACAAACGAGCGGTGTGTGCTTGCTGGGCACTGCACACATTCCCGGACCTTAGAGTCAGAGTAGACACTTCACCCCCATTTCCTGTTCCATACCGATTCTCATATAGTACTTGCCTTTCAGCACAACCACCACCAAAATCCCAGTTTTGCAAAGATGTGATGTCACTGAAAGGAACACGCTGTGATCTAATGTTGAAACTGTGAACCACCTCGGCTAGTAATTTGCATGGTGATTGACTGATGCCGAGAACTGCTGTGTTTCCCCCTGAAAATTTAAAAGACACTCTGCTGCCCTAGGTCCTTGGGCACAGAGTTTGGGAACTGTGGGCCTAATGTTATTACTTCTGGCACCCTCCCCCAGCAGCGGATAACGCAAGCCTCTGGTGCAATGTCCCTGGAGAAGAGCCTGTCTGCTCCTTCTGTGAAACGTGGGTTTGAGAAACCCGCTGGGGTGGGATAGCCAATAAACCGGTCTGTACTTTAAACCAGTCCCCACCTTAGGAAAGTTACAAGGATACTGTGCTTTTTAAATGACATTAATTCTATTCTAGATTGATTCATCAAGACCAGTCTCTTAGCTTAAAGGTGGGCTAGCTAATGAGAGTAAGCAATTTGGACTAGTCCTTAAACCTATCTGAAATAAAATGTTGTTTAACTACTATATTAAATGGAGCATCAAGGAACAGTCCCTGTTACTGAGGAGTTCACAGTCCATGGGAAAGACCGGTAACCAGACAATTCAATAGAGGGTGACAGATGCTGCGACACAGGGACCCTGATGCACCCTGCGGTGGGAGCCAGGGCAGGTTTCCCAGATGAGGTGATGGATTTTACTCCAACTTTCTTCGCTGTGATTATGGAGAAGAGGATGACTTGAAACCCAAGGCTTCTCTTCTCTTTTAAATCTCAGAGAAACAGTTCGAAGTCGGTGTTGGCATGGGGCTATAAATATTCTCATTATTTTTACATGTATTCTTTCAAGACACCTATTTTTCCTTGAGCACTAACTGTGCCAGGAACTGTACTATACCGTTTTTCTACAGCATCTCACTTACTCTTCACAAACAGCTTGGGGAATCCAGCCATGGTGTACCCTCATGAGCCGTGTCTCTGTAAACAACTATAAAATTGGAAAAAAAATAACAAGGCCACTGTGTCGGGGCAGTGGGAACAGGCCATGCAAGGCTGATCCCTGAGATGAGGGGCAGCAGGAGGTGGGCCCCCTGCACACCCAGCCCCTTTCCTCACCTCCTCTCAGGCTCTCTGCACGTGTCCGCAAGGCTCCCACACACTGGTCCCCTGGCACTTCTTCAACCACCCCAGCGCTTTCCTGCCTTTGGGCTTTTGCATATGCGCTTCTCTCTGGAAGTATCTTCACTATTGCTCTTGCAAGGCTGGCTCATTCTCTTTCCTCAAGTCTGTGCTCACGGGCCACCACCTCAGAAGTTTCTCCAACAGTTCTACCATGTTTTTCTCTCTTAACAACCTGTTGTTCTTCTGCCTGTACTGAGTAAAGTTTATAAGTGTATTTATTTGCTCATTTATACCCTATCTGCCTCTCCCACTAGCCCGAGATTCCTATACCCCACGCTAGCACGGCACCTGGCATGCTGCAGGTGCTCAATAGAGAGCTGCTGAATGAATAAAGGAAGGAAGGATGTATCAGATTGGCCCTACCTCTTCCCTGTGGGAGGTGGGGGAAATGTGGAGACGGAGAATTCCTCCTTCCCATTTATAAGAGTCACTGAAGTTCAGAGACGACAGAGAGCAGATCTGAGAACTCTTCACAGATGATGTGGGACTTGCAGACAACACGACCATGCAGTGAAGCCTCCCTGTAACCTCCCAGTTCACCAGTGAGACTCAGAGAAGCAAAGGACTTGTTCAAGGTGCCCCAGCCAGTAAGTGGAGGGATGGAGACGCGAAACTGGTCCGCTGAGATCAGAACCCCGTGATCTGTTCACGACACTGCCCTGCTTTGAAAGCAAAGGATGGAGGCAACTCTTTTCCTTCGATCTTTTTCCTTCCCACCCCCACCCTTGGCTCTTTTGCAAACTCTCCTGACAGATAGACTGGAGCTGGCAAAGGGTAGCCCCTGGGAGTACAATGGGGCAGGTGCCCAGTCTCTTCCTGGAAGGTCTCGGGGAGGACAAACTCTGCCAGCCAAGCTCCACAGCCGAGGTGTCCCCCAGCTGGAATTGTGGCCCAGATGACTCAACCCCAGGGCCTCTTGGGCAGGGTAGCCTGTGCCAGGGACCCTGGCATGGCTGAGGCTCAGAGTTACTCACTGGGCAGGCTGCCACCACCTGAATCACCCCTCTACCTCTGGGTGGAAAGAAGAGGCTGGGGGCAGGGGCCCTCTGGGTGGGGACTGTTTGACTCATCTGGTGAATAAACAATAATAATGACTGTAACAACAATAACGATGGACCAGGCGGCTACTCTTAATGGGCTACTGTAACAGCTGTCTATTAATTCACATGGCCTTTATGACAATCCTACATAGTAAGTACTGTGACTTCCCCATTTCACACATGAAAAGACTGTGGCCCAGCAAGGTTATCTAACTGGCTGCAGGATCTAGAGCTCACATATGGAAGTGCTGAGATTCCAGCTAAAGTCTGTCTGGCTCCCAAATCCAGCCATTCATTTGATAAATACTGAGCCCCTACTGTAAGCCAGGCACTGTTGTGGGCACCAGGTAATACACTGATGGGGTTGGGTGAGGAGTTAGTAAACAAATACATATGTGACATATTAGGTAGGGGAGATACCTTGCCCAAGCCTACACCACACTCCTAGGGCAGCCCACACCTGATGATTGATTGGGGCAGGAGTTCAATGGCACAGCCCCTTGCCATGATTTGGGATGATTCTGAAGGGCCACCTCAGCCCTGGAACTCCTTATGGAGTCAGCTGAGGTCCCTACTGTAACTGCACTGCAGTTCAACTTCTCCCCCGCCTAATCCTGCTTCCCTCACTTCCCAAGGCAGTGCTTCCAAGCTCAGACCCCAGAGTGCCTCTTGAAGCAAGTCCCCATCTCAGGGTCTACTCAAAACTTATTCCCCACTTCCTCCATCCTAACAAAACTCCAGTTTTGTTTAGGCGTCTACCCACCTCCACCTGACCATGGGCTTCAGGGGGAACTGAAGTTATTCCCACACAAGAGGTGAATCCAGACTATATTCAGTTAACCAGAACACGGCACTCTTCTCTCAGTGGCCCACGGCTGGACTCCTGAATAGATCAGCTCAATGAGACGGAAGAGAACATCCCAGAATGCCGCTAGCAGCAGGGGTAAGACCGAGGAAGCTGCCCAAGAGTGAAGCTGGGACTGGGGCCAGCCGGCTGAGACAGAATGCGCCTAGGACCTCAGTGACACTGAAACACTAATCCTTGGGCTTTCAGAGTGTTTGAGCCAGTTTGAGGTGGAATTTTCCGTTTCTTGCAGGGTCGACGCATTTACTGGCTGCTGGCTGTCTAAGCCTGCTCTGTGGGCCATGAGGCTGTCTGCAGGAAGGTGTCCTCGCTGAGGCTCCTGTTGGAGACACATGTTTCCCCTCCCTCCCTGGGGCTCTCGGTCCTTGTCTTCAGCAGCAGGGTACCTTTAGGATGGAGGAAAGCTATTAGGGGAGTCTCTTATTTCCAAACTCCTGCAGTTTCTTTCTACATGGAGGGAGCGACATTGCTGGCCCATCTGCCCACTGCCCACCCCCCCACCCCCCCCGACTCGTCCTCTTCAGAAGTGACAGATTCAGAGCAGAGGGTCTGAAGGAGAAATGGGCAAATGGAGATGACCCGCCCATTCTCCTCTCCTTTGTCTCTGGGAGCTGTCTGCCCACAAACAGCACTAGTCTGCTCCGCTTCTCAGATCGTAAGTTTTCTGAGTCAGGCCCAACACAGGGAAGCCTGAGGCAGCCCAGCAATGTGTGCATTTGATGGGCAAGCCTGTCTAATTCTGGAAACCCATTTGCCTGCACAACTAAGCCATGTTCTTTAATACCTTTATTCGTACAAATGCATTTGATTTTTAAACACCTTACTCTTACTGTACCACAACCCCTCCCACGGTGCCTGCAACATGGCTGACTGGTTGGAAAAGGGTGTTCTAGCAGTAAAGTCAGGCATGAGGCTGGTTGAGGACCTTTCATGCTTCTTCCAATCCAGACTCAGGGGTGCTATTATGACAAAGTGTCCCAGTTGTGTTGAAGAGTCAACTTTTTTGTCCCTTAACACTTAATTTGAAAAGGCATTCATTCAGTGGTTCCTCATAGGAGATCTTCCACAATGAATAGCAAAATAGCACTTTACTAGTGGTTTTATCCAAGTTGCCAGAATCTTCCCTTGACCCAACTGGAACCTCTCTCCTGCCCTTTCCCCCCTTCCTTGTGAGACCTTTGTGGGCTGAAGAGAGGGCAGCAGGCTCCTTGCAGGGCTCATTAACATCTGCCTTTTCCTCGCCTGAAGCCATCCGTAGTAAGCCTCCTCTTTGGGGTCTGAGAATGTGACCTCCAGGCAAGGCACTGTGTTGGTTGGCTTGGAGAGGTCTGACTCACGTGACATGATCGCCCCTCTGCACGACAGGGCCTGACAGCAAGCCTGTCTCCCCCAGGCCCCTGTCGAGCATTCCCCTTTGTCTGGGCTTTCCCAGGGAGTGTCTCGACCCTGGACTTGACCGGCTTTGCCTTCCTGTCAGCACTTCTGGGCTAAGCTGCTCCACCCCAGTCTCTTCTCTGCCCAACAGGAGAATAAAGGGAGCCTCAGAGCCTCCCGGGCAGGGTCGGATTCCAGATCTGTGCAATGCAAACACACCAAGCCAAGCGAACCAAGCAGATGCTCCCTCAGCCAGGCTTCTTATTTCAACCTTTCTGTGGGCCTCTCACTGCTTCGGGCCATGTCTGTCTGTCTGTCGCCCAGGGTCCCGCCTCCCCTTCCAGGCCATCAGCTTGGGCTTTCTTGGCAGAGGCACACGGCCAGCCAAACCAAAGAAGAAGACCACCGAGAGCCAAGAGGCCTCGACTCCAGTTCCAGCAAGTTGCCTTCCTTCTCTGAACTCCTGGCTTCAAAATTAACCATGCTAGCTTAGGAGATGAAAGTCAATTGAGGGCAGCATTCTCCACAACAGCCAAGATATGGAAACAGCCTAAGTGGTGTCTGTCAGTGTATGAATGGATAAAGAAAATTTGGGGGTACACGTGTGTGTATATTATACACATACTTACATATATATGTATATACATACATACATACATACATATATATATATAATTGAGCCCCAAAAAAGGATACCCTGCCATTTGTGACCACATGGATGGACATTGAGAGCATTATGTTAATGAGACAAATCAGGCAGAGAAAGACAAATACTATATGATCTCATTTATACGTAAATCTAAGAAAACCAATCTCAGAGAAACAGACTATAGTATGGTGGTTACAGGGGCTGGGGGAGGGGAAATTGGGGAGATATTATTGAAGGGTATAAGTAGACAACTAGAGGATGAATGAACTCTGGAGATCTGGTGCATGGTAAAGTGATTGTAGTCAACAGTACTGTATTATATATTTCAAAGTCACTAAGAGCAGGTGGTAAATTTTTTCTTACCACAAAAAAAGAAATGATAACTATGCGATGGGACAAAGGAAGGTTTTAGCTATGCTATGATGGTAAGCATACTGCAATACGTGAATGTATCAAGTCAACATGTACACCTTAAACTTACACAATGTTATGTGTCAATTATATGCGAATTTAAAAAATGTAAATTGAGGTTAAGAGTGAGATCTCTGAAGCCAGACCTCCTGGCTTTGAACTCTGGCTCACCAAATATCAAACATCAAAAACCTCTCTCTTCCAGCTCCCTCAGCTGCAACATGGTTATCAGTACCTGACTCAGACGCCTTCTAGGTAAGAGGAAGAAGCTAATCTGTGTCCAGTCCTCTGGCAGTGCTGGCCCGGAGCATGCCCTCAGCAATTCATCATCCCTCTCCTCACTTCTAAGATGCTCACAGTCTGTAAGGGGAGTCAGGCATGCAGCTGAAGGTGCAGTAGAGTTGCCTGTGGCGCAGCAGAATTCTGCACGGGCACGGTACAGGCACATAGTCGGCTCACACCCACTGAGGGTGCGGGGAGAAGTTCAGGGAACTCTTGAGCTGAATCTAGCGTTGATGAGGCTGACATGGTGTGGGTGATCATGGAAGATGAAAGAGGGAGGGAAAGGCAGAAGAGAGTAAAACTGGCTGCATGTTTGGGGACTGGAGAGGGAGGGGGTGTGAAGAGCCCTGGGTGTGAGGGGAGAGAGGACCCTAGAGGGTTTAGTAGGTTCTGGGGGATCTTGGAGGCTTTATCCATGGATAACAGGGAGCCACTGCTGGGTTTTAAGCAGAAGAGGGATGTAACACTTCTGGGTTTTAAGACCCAAGGTCAGCAGATGCTGGAAAACGGATAGGAGGGACCATCCAGGGGGCCTGGTGAACTTTAAGCAGTGATTGCTGCAGCTGGGGCCAGAAGTGGTACAGAACTGACTGAGATAGAAGGAAGAGAAAGGCAGGGAAAGTGTGTGGTGGATGTGGGGGTCCTGGGAGCCAAGCAAGAGAACCACCGTGGCTCTGTGTGCCGAGCGCTGACCGCATGGTGGCCACTGCTGGGAGCTTCTACACTAGGACGCTGGCCGTGCTGCAGTGAGGCCCGGGGAGGGCGGAATAGCTTCCAGGTCACACAGCTGGTGAGCAGAGGAGAAGGATGCCTATCCACAGTCTGGATTCAGAGCTCCTGGCTGTGACTACTGCACATGGCTGCCTCTCTATGGGAATGACTTTTA